CCTAACCTCTAAAAATATTGTAGTGTATGTATCATGAGACTATACAAAATTTCTTTATGTCCTGTATAAAACTTGCTATGAAGTCTGCAGTCTTGTCTGAATTTTGCCCAATCAAGTACAACAAAAACGTCACAGACATAACTCAGTTAATGTTAGAGAGAATTTTCAGAAAACTGGATTTTGTCCTATTCTTTTAATTGTAACTGCCTTAGCGTTTCTATTATATCCAGTATTTCAGCTGCAAGAAGCTGAAACCCGCTTAAAAGATCCCCCAATTCCCTGTACATACCTGCAAACCACCTCCCATGGAGAGCATTGACCGAGGCCACTGCAGCCGCTATACTGGGGCACTTGACATATACATTCCCCTGAGGAGAGGCTTTGTCCACATAGATATGGATCACCCCACCATGCTTATTACACTCCTCTATCACATCATCCTTGATCTCCTGATCCCAGCTGGGGTTGGTCTCTCTGTGAATAAATTCAGGGATTGTATAGAAAGTTCAATCAGGTACCAATACATTTAATTTTTCAAAGACTAAATAACATATCTATCGCTTTCTGTTGTTTTTTTTTTTTTTCAATTAGGTCAACCTACTTGGGGAAAAATTTGTTCTATCCAATAGAAAGTTCTAGAAAAAAAAATAACTAAATGCTTTCTTTCAAACATCTCAAATACTGGCAGGGACTCAAATCGCTCGTCTCTTGTTGTGATTTTTGTGATAATTAGCAAGATGTTTAAGAATTTTGTATCTACCAGTTCATCAAAGCTTTAGTAACAAATGCTCAAGAATAATACTACTCTCATATGCATATGAAGTTAATTTGTTTCCACAAAACCTGTCAAATGCCAGCATGGAGTTTCAAATAGTATAACGAAGAGAATTACCAAAAGACATTGTTTAATATTAGCCGAAAAATGATATCTGAACGGATTTTTCGGATAGCTTTTTTTTGCGTGTGGGCAGATATATAAGTACTTACGTGATAGGGTCAAACATGTTAGACAACATAAAGCACTGTGTGGCTATGGGTGGGGCAGCCTGCTGAGCTGACTGTGCCTGGGTCAGGTTCAAAGCATTGGCAGCAAACTGGGGGATCTGGAAACCTGTACCTGGAATGGTAAACATGGCAAATGTTAACACATGCTGAAACAAGTGTTTACTGCTATTACAGTTAATCAACCCAAGGTAATGCTCTCTTGAAAGCCTGTCTGTCCTAGATGTTAACTAATGGTCCTTGTGAAACTGCCTAGTCTCTAGTTTCAGAAAAGTTCACAAAGGCTGGCAGATTTAAGACCTGCAGTTGACGGACAACATCAGACATGATAATCATTAACTGACAAACAGATTAAGAAGAAACTGAGTGTATCTAACTCCTTTCAACTTCAACCAAGATTTACACATAATACTATCAAAGTACAAGCCCAAGCTTTCCATTTCCTAAACCTCATGTTTCTCTTTTGGGGTTCACTAGGCCCAAGAACACTGTGACAAGATAAAAACAAACATGACCCACCTTCTGCCAGTTTTGCCATCAACTGTAGCCTCCCTGTGGCACCGAGGTCAATCCCTGCCCTGTCCATCTCATCACTGTCCAGAGCACCACCTGTGCCCGGCTCGCCTGTACGCTCAGTCACATGACCAACCTTCATAGGACGCCCTGCAAGCTCAAAGCCGTTCAACTGCTGGAGGGCTTTCAGTGCATCCTCTGCATTGTGGAACTGAAAAGAAGACTCTGAAATGAACCCCCTTTTCTGACCCACTTGCTAACACTAGAAGCCCACTGCAATTATAGATCAATATTACTGGGTCAGTATATGTACAATGATATCATAAGAGGCTTGTTTCTCAATTCTAATTCCATGCTGGTAAGCATCCCTGTAAAAGTAGTGTTTTTCTTTTTATTCATACCCATTTTTTTTAGAAATCTCTGCATCATAAACTAAAAATATATCTGGTAAATAAATATACATATATGTTTCCATGCAACACATACATTGGCATGTTACATAATAAAATGCTGATTTTAAAGACTTCAAATAATATGCGAACATTAAGCTTTCTTCTGTAAATTTTTTTCCAAAACATAACATCTTAATGAAATGATAATTCTACAGCTTAAATGCAATTCCTGACATCCATATACAAACAACAGTGCTGCAATATGTCCATCTGTGGGCCACGTCTTCCAACTTTTCATACAGGCTGCAGGTCAACAAGGTCAAATCATCAACCAAGGTCAGGTCAGGTCAGGTCAAGGTCACATATACTTACTGTAGCAAACCCGTATCCCTGNATGTGATCAGTACAAGTAAAAAATCCTCTCAACTGATACCTTAAATGCCACTTGTTTTTGCATTCTGTTAGTTAAAGAAATAACATCTAATGTTTCCTTGGAATTGTCAACCACAGCAAACTCCAATTCATCAGCAGGACTAAAACAGAAAAAAAGTTGTTTTTTTTTTGTACAAATAGCTGTAAGAGGTAAGCTATTGCTTCTTTCATAGCAAAAACTTAAAACTGTAAACTTATTAAAGATACTTTTAAATTTGATGGTGAAAACAATGAAGCTGCACAGTGAACAATTATCATAATTCATTCATGGCAATGCACATTTGTTGCAACATATACCTATCAACATCCAAAAATGACAGAGTAGATTTTTTTATACATCCTTCCTCCCCCCAGAAATACAAAAAAGAGCTCATAGAAAATGTCAAAATGTTCATTAATACTTGCCTTATAACAACTCAGATTAAATGTGATAATACAGCCAAGTAGTAGATCTGAAAGCCGATAACAAATACAAACAGTAGAAGTTACCTGATAATTATGAGCCGCCCTGTGTAGATATTTTGATCATCTCTCTGTCTTTTCCTACCACTGACCATCTTTTGTCTGCCTGGTCCCTGAGACTGCCTGGAGAGAACACTTGACATGCTCTGAGAAGAGGAAAAATCAATAATAATAATAATAATAATAATAATAATAATAATAATAATAATAATGATGATGTTGATGACATCTGGTTGCTTGGATTGCCTGTAGATAATGCTTGTTATACTGTAATTTAAATGAAAATAAATAAATATACCTAACAACGATCGTTTGAAACTTTTTCACCCAGGCAGAGATTCAGAACTTCAGCACTTCAACACTAATACTGGTGAAGTTCTCATCTGGTGAGTGTTTGGAATAAACTTGCCAATTCTATGGCTTTTACAATTAGTTTAAACTTACAAATGGCTCCAAATTTTACAATGGCAACCATCCAAGCAAGCCAAGAGACTTGCAACTTTGCATAAAATGAAGTAAGATTTTGCAGGATCAGCCAGAAAAAAATTATGATAGACAATAGAGTGCGGTGCTGCAATGAATAAAATCTGAGAGAATTTATTCATGACTGATATTTTCAAGTAGCATGTTTTCTCATGAATTCTAAAGTTGTGTTTCTTGGTTGAATTCCATTATTATAAACTTACAGACTTTTACATAAAGAGTAAACTTACCAATCTATCAGACTTGTCATCCTCTCCCACCTCCCCACTGGCATCAAAGCTATTATACATCGTGTCCTGTTCAGCAAATGTGACCTGTAACAATTCTCTGTTATGCTTCATATGTTTCACTGCTGATGTTACATTCATGACTATGTTATATAATCAAACTTTTACCCTAAGATAAATATTTTAAAAAAGGAGAGAGAATGGCCAATCAAAAAAGTCCACTTTTAAAAATTAAATTAAAAAATTAAAGGTTGAAATACTGGTTGAAAATTTTTAAGCAGCTGGAAGATAATATATTAGAAAGATTACAATAAAAGATCAGGATGAAGAGGCGACTCAAAAAAGCTATACATAAAAAAGAGGGGCAAGCAGTCAAATATGATTATCAACATGAGGCAAAAGCAAATACTGGAGATCCACACAATGTAGAGACTCTATAAGAAACTGCATTTTTAAACTATTGCTAATTAATGCTAATAAGCAAGTAAACATTCATCTTAGGTAAGAAAAATGAAAGGCACCCTTTGCACACGTGAACTTGTATTAAATCCAAAAGGTGCTCTGTTTCAACAATATCATCTTATTCTCACCGTATCAAGTGATGATTTGGCTATCAAATCTTCATAAGAACAAACAACTTCCTGCACATAACCTTCTCTAGGGAACTCACAGCAGTCCTCCATTAGAAGGCCACATCCCAAACCCTGCAGTCAGTGTTGCCATAGACACTGTCACTTAGCAACACATATTCTATTGTGATGTCATAATGCTTTCACCTTACAATCAGTTTTTATCTGTGATGCCATAGAGCCCCTTGTCTTAAATGACATCACATACAGCTTATATTCTTTGTGATGTCACAATGCTTATAGTTTAGGACCACAATGTTATTTTGCTGTTATAATGCATTGTGATATTCACAATCATGGACACTTAAAGCTGGATATGTCACTATATGTCACTACCATGTTTTATGATATCAGAATTGTAACTTTTAAGATGAAAATGACACTGTGACATCACAATGCCCTGACAAAAACAATACAGATACCAGGGATGTCACAACAATGTAAGAGGAAGCCTCAAGTTGTGATCCTTATGATGTCACAACAGACTCATTCACATTGTCTATGATTTCTCACCTGTTTCCGTCTCCCAGTGGGAGAACTATCTGATCCTGGACTGTCCTCATCTGGTGTAGGTGGAATGTAGTGATATTTATATGTATCCTATAAAATAAATCAATAAATAAACAAAACTGTCATAAAACAATACTGTTTTAACAAACAGGAGATTGAAAAATGGTGAATTTTAATTATATGAAAGCCAGGAGGAAAGACTGCAACTTGCACATATGTGTAGTTGGATCTTAGCTTCTCTTGGAATACTCAGACATCTTGGGCCAAATGAGAGCAACAGAATATTGCTGATTTCAAATATTGTTATACATATTTTAGTCTACAAGATTTTCTATTATTTCAAAATATGTTTCTTGTTTCACACATCAAGATAATACGAAATATACACACGATAAAAAGCTATTGCCACATATATTTGAAGACTTATCAGAGAAATGGATAACAAAATGTACAAAATGTTTTACCAAGCCTCCCATGTGTTCCCAGAGTTCTTCTTTGTTGATGTATTCTTGAATTCCAGTCTTCTTTACAAATATCACTCTTTTACTTTGTTCTGCATTTAGCCAAGTCTTAACAATCTTCCAAATTGCTGGAATATAAATCACATTTTATGATGCTGTGATTAAAGGGATAATAACTCTTCATTTCGGCCAAAATGAATTTTCCTGGAGTAAACAACAATTTTCTATACTAACCAATGGTTAATGAATCCATTTTTACATTCAAAGTTAGTCCCTGGTTTTTTTCTAAAAAGTTTGTTTTTTGGTTAAAATCTCTTAAGAGATTTTAACAGAGTATAGCCATCAATGGAGGTCACGTGGTCTGAAGACAAGTTCAGATATCAGAAAAAATAGCTATAACTGCCATTTTTGTGGTAAAACAGAATATATTATATTTCTATGAGTTATTCACAATGTTTTTATTGTGAAATATAGATCTCATACGAAGAGTTATTATCCCTTTAATATATTTGAACAAAACTGAATGGAAATATTTCCCAAAATGAAGCACTGTTAGTCTAACATCCTGTTTGATATTTTAGATCACATGGTTTGCAGGGTGGAATAGATTTAACTATGTCAAGAGGTTAGATTCTGTGAAAAACTCGTTTTGACATAAAAATAAATGAAATAAATAAGGTATTAAAGTTATTCAACTTTGTGAGAAACAATCATAATTTGTACCTAAAAACAAATTAATCAAATTAGCATTAACATGCACTGTGCACTGGCTTAAGCTACAATTGCCTTTGTGCATTAAAACAACATGTTTTGTTTACATGTCAAATGAAATATATATTCTTAGAATCAATATTCTGAATCGTCATCTTTCATATCCATACACTTACCATTAAATAACCATGGCATTTCATAAATAAGGAAATATGCTGGAAAGGAAAAAAAAACAATATAGGTGCACATGTTAATTGAGTCACAAAAGGAAATGACTTCGGAAATCAACAAAAATCATCATTTTATGTGTGCAAAACATAATTTGAATACACATTTAGAAAATATCTATACAGTGCCATTTCTGGGAATTATTAATGTAACATCAAAAAAAGTGAGCAAATTGCAGTTAAAAAAATAAACAATTAAATTAATAAATAACTAAACAGTTTTAATCAACTTAATTTAGTTTACTTTATTTATTTAGTTTATTTAGTGACATACCTAGAAGAGCTGGAAAGTTGGTTGTGAAGGCTGTTATAAGAAACTTTAGCAAATCTAGGTCCTGAAATGAAATAGTAATTACTTCAATACTTGGTAATGTTGAAAATGTATTACAAACCAGCATAACTCAAAGTTCTACGCTACCTAGACTAAGTTATAAACCATAATTTATTCTATTATTACTTGTTATTGGCAGGGAGGAGTTCTTTAGTCACAAACTGGCATAAGTCATGAGGTAGGCCATTAGCTATTATAGCAACTAACTAACACTGTGCAAGATCTTTGCGCTGCCTTAACTTCTCATTCTATTATCTCTTTCCTGAACTTCATGACAGCTTCTTCATTTTTAAATCTTTATATTACACGTGCTCACTTATCAGACTGACTGACATCAATGAGTTCATATAAAGTGTGCCATGCCAAGTACTGACATATATCCAGCCATCTTGATTTCGCAAAACTGTATACGACATAGCTTACAGACCCATCTATTTTTTGTGAATGGCACAGTAAGCTTCTGTGAAATACCACTAAAGTTCAGGCACGTCAAGCAAAATCTATGAAAGTTTAAAAATGAAGAATACAGCCTGTGTCTGCTTTGAAACTAGAGCTATTCTCAACATCTCTGTTACTTACAACATTAGACATTCCTGCCATACTCATGTCCATCAGGAGCACTATCCTCTCTCCCGGCCTTTTTCTGCAACTCAGTTCTAAATGGTAAGCTATGAATTTCTTTACTTGTACCATGACATCTTGGTCACCCTTTTTACATTGCTGTACATCAAAATACACTGTAATAAATGACAAAAAAAAAAAAAAAAAAAAAAACTGTAAACTCTTAGAAAAATTTTTAAAGTAGAATCTAACAGTTCTTTGTGGCTTTCAGAGTTGCTGACTTAAAGTTATATTTTGACAATATATAATTGCTCAATGTAGATCATTTAAAATAATTGCTATACAGTACTATCAATAGAGATATTTTTTATAACAAATAGCTACCTGCTGATTTTTATAAATAAATGAATTTAAAATGAATGCAATATAACAGTAATTTAAAGATTTTTTATGAATATAATTCTAACCAATATTTTGCGTTTACAAACTTACATATCTTTTGTCCATCTTTATCTTTACTGTGGAAGTAAACAGCACCTCCCTCCCAAAAATCTAGTGTAAAGGAATCATGTTTCAAATCTGAAAGTGAGGAAAAAAGACAACTGTCTGTAAATATGGAGGCTAAAAGAAGTGCATGCTTCAAAACACATCCTCAAGCTAGTGTCTTTAATAAGCATTTATCCAAAATTGAATGTTATTATAATTTTCAATCAAGTTGCCACAAAACCTTTAATTTGGAATACAAAATCCTGCAAAATACATAGTTTGCCATTTCTGGCTAACTTATGTTAACTTTGTTATTTTATTAGTTGAGAATTTACATCAGTATTACACAAATAAGTTCAAAATTTGGATTAGCAAAAAAAAATATAATAAATAAATAAATAAATAAATAAAATTTAATTAAACACTGTTTACTATTAACACACCATTAACTCCCCATTCTTTCCTCCACCTCAGGGACATGTCCATCATGACCACGGCATCCTCCACTACTCCCTTCCTGCTCAGCAAGAACTGACGTACCCAGAGATCATCTGACCGGAGCTTTGACAGGTCTCTCTCATCATACAGCTTCTTGTCTACATTTTCTGAAAGTTACAGATTCATATGATTATTTTTTCAGAAATTTTAGCCCTTATACAAAAAGTCACCTTTTGCTGGTGCTCTTCTGACAAACCTCAAAATCTGTGATAAAATAACTAAAAATCATGATGTTTTACAATTTGTAAACATTACCTCTGTTTATGATAAAAGTATAAGATCATGATGAATGATGAATATTTGATGTTTGGAGAACTACCGGTAGTCTAGATTTATTATGAATCAATGCCACGTTGTACTTAATTGTTGTACCCTGTCCTTGACAGTGATGAAGGCACTGCTACATATCAATGTTCTGAGCAAAATTTTGACCTATTCTACTGCATAGGAATATATCATAATTAACCTACATCTACCATGCACAGTATCCATTACAATTCACTTTTCTCATTCTGTTCTTGTTCATGGTGATATAAGCACTCTGCATAAATTATGTATCACATTTTCTGTATCATAATTATTCAAATTTATAATAAATTCAATTAAGGACTCTGTCCTATTTTTCTTTTCTTAAATTCAAGACGCCCAAAGGACCATACGTGCCGTTAATATATACAATTTATACTCGTACATGTCTGTTACAGTACATGTTCGTTGACTGAGTTAATGAAGTCTAAATATATTTTTCATCAATGACATCCCCGTGACAATATCACTATCGTTATCTCACAATCAGATAACCAAACTGAAGATAACAGGCTTTTAAATACGCCTACACTTTTTGACGTGCACCGAGTAAAACCTGGGCAATACATGCATGACCGTGAAAAGCCAATGTTTACGTTTGCCATCACGTGAGGGAAGTATACCTTTGTACTTCTCGAAGAATTCTTCTCTTGCCTCGCTCACTTGACCTTGAAATTCCTGCAAAAAAATCAAGTTAATTAATATGCAACCTAAATTAGAAATGACTCTAAAAGGTTGACAAGAAAAACGTTATTAAATGTAATTAATGTGTCACCTGATAAAGCAAAGCCGCATCTCCGGCCATTCTGTCAGAAGTTCCACTTCCGGGTAAATGGGCAACTGCAAATTGACCTAATTTTTAAGCTAATGATTGGATGACCGCAATAATATGCTGTTTTCATTGGCTGTTGCTCCTCTTGGCCCAATTTGCTTACAACATGGAGGACAGCGGTTCGTACAAACCTCATCTATCTTGAACTAGGCCGACATTTGTGCCCTTCGTCGCTTAATATGGCCACCAAATCACACTATTTCACTACCTGTGATGGAAAACTGCTTACACTTTCTTGGGGAGGACGAGGAAATAACGATCTTTCTGAAATAAGAGGTACTTTTTACAACTTTGATCCTGCAACTTGCAGGTTTTGTGGTGACGCGGAAAGTGGCTCTCCTGTATATATTTCATATAACCCTGGAGTGAATTTTGATGTTCTGAAAGTTGGCAAGGTTAAAGAAATTTCAACAGGACAAAACATAAACTGCATTCTTCTTCAAAGATCAGAGAGGAAAGTAAACCAGGGGCACGTTTATTATGTGATTACAACAAGTGAAAGCAACTTCATTTGCATCAGAAAGTTTTCTGACAAACAAAATCTCTCTCAGCTGCTTTTGTTAAACTCAGAGGAATTACAGTTATTTGATGGACCAAATGTGCTATGGATTGAAGGCCTAACTGTATGTTTTACACATAATTACCCAAATTCAACAAATACTGTTGTCTGTAAAGTGGATTTACCTGTACACGTTTCAGCACTTTTGGAGTTTAAGTGGGCTTCATTGATCCCTGACTCATGGGATTCACAGGTGTACATTCTTTGCAAGACCCAGAGCAGTGTTAAAGAGCATGAAAGGATGGATCAGGACATTTCTGATAGTGACAGTGAAGACGACTGTTTTAAATTTTATGGCTTTATCATCAAGAAAAATGGTGCTGCCTTTTCTAGAAGTGTGGAAGACAAAGTTAGTTTTGTTGTAGAACAAACCCCAACAAACTTATTTCCAGACATATATGCAGACATAATATGCTGTATGACAGTGCAGCACTTAAGCACTCCCAAAAGGGCAAGTCTGTCAGAATTGTCAGCAGAGTATATAACCCAGACACATGCCCAGTCTTCAGATATGGACACTAGTTATTCTGCAAATACTTTCAGTTCAGATGCTTTTGCTTGCACAACTCATGGTCAGCTGCTGCAGTTTCAAAATGGACTTGTCCACAGATGCATCCAAATGCCTTTTAATGATGCTGTTGATGTGAAAGTGGTTGAGACCATGGGTGGTCAGTGTTATGTGATAGTGGCTTCTGCAACTGGACAGTTGATTGTCTACGATGAGCTTCATTTAAAGGTATATTTTGGCAATCATGATGGCTGCTTTATCAGTTGTTACTTATGGTTAATAGTTTCTTGCGACTTATGTGTAGATTATTTGAAATAATTATTGTAGTCTTTTTTAAAAAAATCTGTTTCTCATTATATTATCTCCTCTAACAAATTTGCTTTGCTCTAGTTGCAGGTGGCAGGTGCACACAGGAGTGTGTTCATATATAATAGTGTTTCACCTAACGCATTTACTTTTTCATTTGGATCAGATGCCAGTTAATTTTTAAGAGAAATGTTCACATTATCTGGTTACACCTTTGAATAAAAATAATTTTTAAATGTATATCAGGTTGAAACCATCAAGAAAGTCTAACAGGGTTTGCTGGTCTGGAATTGACTCATATTGTCCTGTGGTTTTACAGCAGGTAGATTTGTTCCAAGATGTCAAGAAAGTTTTGGTGGATGATTTTATTGGATGTGGCTCAGACCAAGTATTGCTGGTGTACAACAATGCAGATGGTACAGAGGGCATGGTCACTCAGTTCCTGCTGACAGATTTTTGCCTGCATAAATTTGATTCTGAACAGGTTGGTAAACCAAGGTGTTTGTAGACAAATAGAAATGAGTTTTAGGGAAATTTGGAATTGTAGAATTTTTAAATGTAGAATTTTTAAAGTGGAACATGGGACTTTTGAGTAAACAATTATTATTATTATACCCCCCCCCAAAAAAAAAAAAAAAAGAAAAAGAAAGAAAAGAAAAAAGGAAAACCCCTGTAAAGTTATAACTGTGGAAGATGTTCACAATTTATTTGATGTTAATGTTGGAATTTATGTCATTTCCTGTAACTTCATTGATAAAATAATTCTGCTATTAATTGCTTGTAATAATAAACACTGTCAGGTGAATGCAGATATTGAAGTGCCCTGCACTGATCATGAGGAAAATCTCCAAAGAACTGCACAGGCTCTGGAAGCCAGATTGCAGGTAAGTAAACCCTTCTTTGTGACTTTCTTTTTTCTTCCAACTCTTAAAAACTACACAGCATTTTCATTTTCTGTATCATAACACTTATCCATTAAGTTAATATGGAGATTTTAAAATCATGTAGCTGACATGCAATGGCTCTGAAGCTCAGGGACCAATCGTTGTGTTAATTTCATGGTCAAATTACATTTCAGAAACTTCTTATTTTAATCAAATAATGATTGATCTGTGTCATGTGGTAAATGGTATTATTTTAGGCTGGCCTGTCAGCAGTAAGGGAGGCAGAATATTTGTGCAGGAAGAAGCAGAGTTTGATAGAACGCACATGCCAGAATATAGAGAATATGAATCTGGGTAGAAAAGTGCCAATCACTTGTGAAGTAAGACATATCAGTAAATAAAATTATGACATGGAAATATGGAGAAAATATAGACTAGTGTTTTTTTATTGCATAATAATATATTTTATGTTGTAAACATTGATAAACTTTGATCTGTTCCATTCAAATGACCAAAGGTAGGAGGACAGGGTATTTTGAAGTTGATCTAAAGGTCTATAAATAGAACAAAGTGTAATTTGACAGCACTACATTTAATTGCAGCACATTCAATAAAGAATATCCCTTACTTAGTGCACCTTATGACTTGGGGCTGTTATTCTATTGTATATAGTTTTTCTGACCAGTTCCTGCAGTTAAAGAATTTTTCACTTTTAAAAGATATTCAAAACTACATTTTCAGCCACATCTTGTACATCTGGTGGGTCCAGTAAGGGAAGCTGATCATGGTGATAATACAGGTACCAGTTCCTCTGGTTTGACCAAAGGCTATCAGTGTCTAGACACCCTTGAAGTGAGGGATACCTGGCAGAGATTGGTTCATGAGAAGTGGGTGATTGGTGTTGATCTGGAAAATGTGTCAGAAATGTGAGTTGTTTGCAAAATAATGGTTTGATCTTTTGTATTACGCAGTTCTTGTCGAGATTCATTTTGAATTAAAAAAACGGTTTATTTGCCAAGAGGTATTTTGCCTATGAGAAAGATAATGAGTGGCCTTTCATTTGATAGCTCACTGAAATATGTCAGTTAAGCTAGTGATAGTTATGGGAATAATTATTGAAATGACTTTGTTAAGCATTTAATCATATTATTGTGTATTTTCTTTTTCATTTCATTTCAGTGATTGCTGTGACATCTGGATTTCTATTGTCCCTTGTGCCAGTAGTAATGTGCAGCACATGGAATCTCATGCCAAAGTCCAAGCTTTATCATCAAAGAGAGAGAAATTAAATCACCATAATTTTGATGGAGGCTCAATTCCAGAAAAGAGACTGAAATCTCAGATGGATTCAAAGAAATCCAAACAGTGTCTTGTTCATGGGGAAGAGATTAGTGTTGCTGCTTGGGCAGAAATTCCACAATTTGGTGTCAACCCCCAAGTCAGTTGTAACTTGATTCTCCATTGGTCAGAGAGTGATCATGGTAACCATGGTGCTGACCCAGTTAGGAAGTCATTCATGAGAATCTGTGGTCAGGTGACACTAAGTTTTCAAAATGTTGCTGACATTGGCAATGACAAATTTTATGTCAGAATGAGAGAGAAAGATCTGAAAAAACTTTCAGGTATGTCTTAGTAAGCTAGCTACATAATTGAAAATCTGTTAAATGTAAATATTGTTTTGACAAGAGCATGAAGTTTCTGAAGCAGAAATGTAATTATAATCTTAACTATAGTTTAAAGAATTATGTTGGATTTTTTTTTAATGTAGACAATGAAAAAAATATATGATTGGCTGTTGTAATAAGAGTGAAATTTAAAAATAGAAAAGGACAAATGTACACTTGATTCTTTTGAGTGACTTTGTGAAAACTAATGAATGATTATGATTTATGATAAAGAAAAGAAAAAGAAATGTTAAATAGTTTCATGGACAAACAATAATTTCTCTTTTCCTTGATATATTTCAGATACTGAAATCTCCAGAAACATCTTAGCTTTAGACGTAGTGCAAGAAACTTTTCCTCTTCAGTTTAAGTCTACTGTCTCCAGTCTTGCTAATCTGCCATCTTGGATCCAAAAATCTGGTCTGGTATATGTAGCATATTTAGAAAGCTATGCTGGGGACGCCGAGGGACCTTTTCATCATATAAGGGTCAGGGTTGTGCATCTGGAGAGGCACAGAGCTACAGTGGAAGTAAATGCATGGTGAGGAAAATTTGATTTTAAGGTTTCTTTATATTAACATGCTTTATTGTAAATTATGATGATGGTAAATGGTATTTCAACTGATCAAACAGCTTTAACACAGGCAAAGTAATGCATTTTTAGAGAGATTGTGATAGTGTGTAAGTAAGCACAATCTTGCACATTTCAGACTTCAGCTTTGTCATTGGTAAAAGCTGAGGGTAGTGTTGTTTATCGAGCAGGATTTTAACTTATTACTTTAAGTCATAAAATGTCACATATAAATGAGAGCTCACACACATACTCTGACATATTCTCCAAGGATAAGATAAGAGATGGAAAAAACCAATGAAATGCATTTAAAAGAATGTTCTGAGGTAAGGCATTTTTATATTTTTATATGAATTTTTTTATTATTAAAATTTCAGGGATCAAAATCAGCTGCTGCTTCTAGTCCATACCCTGTATGGGCATCTCCCAGATGATGTTATTATCTTACCATATCACCATGGTGACACCAAAAGGGTTGCCATGGAAACTGTGCTTCATCACATGACAACAGAGCAGGCCAAAATTAGGGAGTCTTTCATGCAGCTTATAAAGGATGCTGAGAAAGAAAAGAGTCAGAAATCTGCAGTTTCACAACAGGTTGAATTGACAAGTGAAGGACTCGATGAAAAAATGGATATTAGTGACAAAGATCCTGCTAAAGTTCGTGATGAATTTCAAAGACAGCAAAAACATACAATGGGCAGTGGTTCTGGTGAAATTGTTGTTGATGGGGAAAAATATTTAGAGGCTATGAAAGGCATCCTCGATTTGCAGATGTTAACTGACCATGCAATGTGTTCTTACACAGAAAAATAATCATTTGATTTAATTGTTTGATTTAATTGTTTAAATGTATATATCTAGTTAATTGACATATGAACATTTGAACACGTTGATATTTTATCCATTTTAAGAATCTTTTTTACTATTTTGAAGATCTTTGTATATTTGTGAAAAGATACATTAAAGATATGTTGGTTTACTGAGTAGTTGGTACAATGATCTCATATTTGTCATTTGTTTAAATAACATAGACAAACATAAAATCAACATTAAAAAAATTAACTGATTTTGAGACGCATGATATTTTGAAAGACTACACCATTTATTTCTATTTTATCCAAATCATGATCAAAGTCGATAACTAAAAAGGGCTACATAGAAAAACAGGGTATGTTATTTTTTCGACTAGGTGTAAAATATATCGGACAATTTTTAGATTAGTTTTAAGTTTAGAATCACCCATGATAAGTATATAAAAAAAATGGAAAAAAAAACTGTGAGGTAGATGCGGCACTGAGGTTACTAAATCAGCTCCGAATACCTCAGTCAATTATGACCATGATACGTTGCAAATATTCAAATTCATTATATATGGTCATGTAACCCATCTCTTATTTTAATGGGATTCTAAAATTTTTTCAGCAACATCATTTGTCTTAGGACCCATCAAACGAGTTTAATGGGTACTTGGTTTATCCTTTTTTATGCTATATCATTTATTATCCATAATGCTTCCTCAGGAAGCGTACAGTACGGCTACACTTGTCAAACCTGAATCAAAAACTTTTTTATGTGACATGAAAATGGTGAAGTGGAAAACAAATGGCGCTTTGTTCAGACAAAACTCTAGCGTATAATTGTGCCACATAGTGCCATTGGATGTTTGTCACTGTCCCGCGATATATAACTTTAAGTATGCCGTTACTTACACTTACTAAGCCAACTTTTTTTAGTAGCTAATTAGTTGGAGGGTCAATGATTCATACCCTGCACTCTCCGTGGTTTATTACTTAAATCCTGTAGTCTCGGCGATTCGTTGTTTAAAAAAGGCATATGGCAATTTGGTTTTGTGGGTCTATTTTATTGCCTAAAACGCCCTGTGACTACCCCAATGAAAGACACGACAATCTCATTGTGGTCGAGATATTTTACATCATTTTAATATGCTTATTTAGGCGATGGAAATAGCTTCTCTAATATTAGACCGCAGTTTTGGTTTCTCTTTCTCTAGTTACATATTCCTGATGTTTATCAATGTTCATAATGCCCATTCTGTCACGAATCCACAAAAAAAAAAAAAAAAAAAAAAAAAAAAATGCACCATTTAACCAGCGTGATATAATCTTTACAACTATTAAATGCTAATAGATGCTACTAAATAAATAATTCTTATTCATCTTTCCGACCGCAGCCTTCAGACGAACAATATTAATGTTGACCATTTCTGTCTTGACATCCTAGCGGTGAAGGCAACAATAACGGTACCTTCAATGTCTTCCATCACGCGAAGAAAGGTGACTGAACAGTCAGTGTCATTGTGACTCTGGAGATGTCTTCAAACTTCTAAATGGTGTTTAGTATTCCTGTCGTCGAAATTGACTCCTTATTTATATTGCTTAAAGCGTGACATTTTTTCATGACTTCGAATATGCCTTTATTTTGTATTTGCCTCACGAGAGGTTTTGTCCGTCTAATCAGCAATAAACAACGTTGCTTTGTCATGTAAATGATATGCAACAAACTATTTACAGATTTTCCATTTTTTTCTGAGGTGATTCGTAGTTTGAAAGACTTTTCTTTAGTTTTTTGGGCGTGCATACGGTGCATTTCCAATTAAAAAACAAACGAATAAAGAATTTAAAATGATTTTTAAATGTTAAAACAGATAAGAATAAGGAGAATTCAAGTTGTTTAGTTGTTTAAGATAAAAATAGCATTAAGTGTCTTCGACTTCGCGAACTTTCACTGCGAAACTAAATTCCACGTGTGGTTCTCTCTGATTCATGTTTTAGTTAACTTGTAAAATGACAAATATCTGGAATTTTGTGTAAAATATATATTTTATCAGTATTATTCATGCAGCATACCATTTATTTTCGTGGCAATAAATGCAATGTATCTGGGGATTAAAAGTCCCAGTTAGGATAAAGTCTATCATAGTTGGTGTTAGACATTCCATATCTCTAAATCTGAGTTCTATAATAAACATTTCCATGCATCTTGCATGTTGTATGCAATCACAGAGCATAATAACAAAGAAAAAAAATCAGCATTGGACTAAACACAATTCAAGCATTTTGTCTGGAATTTTTCTATAATAAGATAAAAAAAAAAAAAAACTCTCAGCATTGCTGACGCCTGCTTTTCCACGGCTGGAAGTTTTTGATATCGGCCAAGCGGGTCGGCTGTCGCATCCACTGAATCACTTGATACGAAGTCACCATGTAAACGTCTGGCATGCGGTTAATATAACGCATGAATTTTTTCAGTCCGCCTAATGTGAAGCGATTTTTCCTGTTAAACCAAGTAGCGTGGACATAGACGCCATAAGGTGCTCTGCGGTTGTTGTAGTAGTCGTTAAGGAAGTTGAGCAGAAGGTAGTTAAAGGTGTCTTCTTCCGTCGTCGTCCTGCAACTGTCGGCCATTCCGCAGGCTTTTCCGTCGACGCCGTACATGCGATTAAGCGGGATTTCCCAGAGCCCAGGATAGGGACGTCTAGGGCAGTTTCCAGGGGTGATATCACAGAGGTAGTTCTCTGGCGGGGTATCTAGGGTGTATGGCCATATGGGAGGGGTGTTGTGAATCTGCTCGGCGCTGTACTTGCCTGTTAACATGGAAGAGTCGTACGTAAAGTTGTTGTCGTAGAGCATTTTGAACTGGCTGTCGCCGCCGATTTGCAAGAACGGGGTCCTCATGCCACGAATTTCCTCAGGCGGCAGTCTGGCCTGATTGCTGATCATGTCCTTCTCGCCGACTATTTCCTCGACGTAATCGTTGTACGTCGCTTGATCCCACCAGGAGGGAGGGGAGCGATGGGAGATGCTGTGGCTGGCGATCTCGTGCCCTTCGTCCCAGAGTTTACGAATATGGTGATACACCGTATTCCCAACGCCAATATTCGATGTATAAAAGGTGCCACCGATGGTGCAGTTATTAGGGTTTCTCAGTGGATTGTTCTTCGGGAATAGTTCCTCGTAATAACGAATGTTGTTGAAATTCACGGAGTCGTCAAATGTAACCAAAACCATTTGGGGCGTGTCTTTGGGTCGAAATCCTGCTGGTGGCCGCGAGGTGGGACAATGGCATCGGGGCAGACGACAGGTGATGCGGTCGCAGACGGCAGCCTCAGAACGCTGGGCGTATTCTGCCAGAGTTATTAGCAGGAGCAGTGCGTTGAAGAACTTGTTCATTTTTGTATGAATAATTGAAAACAACTGAAAAGATGTCTCTTTTCACAGAAAATTGCTACTCACGGCTTTTCTTCACAGCGGGTTGTATAAGTCTTTTGAGTTCAACTTCAGTGTAAAACGGCGACTTTTCTGGTCCTTCTGGTTCCGTTCTTTTCTTTAAAAAGGTCCGGAGTCTTTAGGGAAGCTGCGGGAATTCCAAGTTCTGATAGCGATATCCCGCACTCCTCCCTACAGCTGGCAGTCTTCTGGCCTGTACCAGTCTCCGCCTCAGAGCTATAACTGCGTATACCCGAGTCCGGCTAAAACAACGGCGTTTGTTATGCGGTAAAAGGGGGCCCTTAATGAGTTTCGTCACATCACAGCACTGCACTCACGGTGTATACAGTGTACTCTTTGGAGAAAGGTGATGACAAACGCTCTTTCGTTTTTAAATTATTCATTAAATGGTCGTCAATGTGGGTCTTTCATAAGGTGACTGGACTCTGTGGGACTGAAACCACCCTGGTAAGGAGTCACCCCCACCATTGTTCACCTATAAGAAAATTATCATTGTGGATGACACGAGAGAAAAACGTGGTACATGTATTCTCCCGACAGTAGTAATAAGAGCTTCTGGTAAAGGTTTTACAATTTGGGCATTTTAGCTGTGATGTTGTCAAACAGTATAATTCAAAGGGTTAGAATACTTATGTGGCTGCCACTGGTGTATATTTTATTATTGTTTTTATTTCAAACTGCAAAATACAGCTCAACATATACTTAGTAGGCTGACATTGCAAGTCAGGAAGGGATGTCTACCTCTCATCGATCTTTGTCTCCGATGTCTGCATGTGTGGCACGGTGGTGGATTCACGGGACGGGATCCGTGTTTCCCGCGCATGATTTCAGCAACGTTCGCATGGCACACACACACACACACACACACACACACACATTCGCGCGAACACACTAATGACACCCAACGCTTGCATGTTCGCATAAATTGGAATTATTCACCGATGATCACAAATCAATGTAGACATCGGAATGAATAGTGGGAGAGGGCAGAATTGGACATTTTAGCGGCTCCCTTTCTCTATGGCAGTAGCCTCATTGTAGCGATTAACAGTATAACACTTAGGCTTCGTTCACATGCAATGTCTCTTTTCTATTTTCTATTTTCGGTATGTCTTATGATCACGGTCTGTGCACTGAATATCCCGCCGCGTAATTACTGGCAGCGCGAGCCAGTTACTTATAGTAACTTTTAGTAACTGGCTCGCGCCGCCCGGAATTATGCCGCGGGGGATTCAGTGCACAGACCGCGGTCATAAAACATACCGACAATAGAAAATAGAAAATAG